GCTGGAGGGGGGCCATGGCATGGCAGGTGGGGAGTCATACAGCGGCACAGTGTTCTGTGATTCACGGCAGATGCAGATACTGAACCACCATCACGAAGAAACCATGCACAGTTGTACGATGTGTAGTTTTTGATAAAGCTGCCCCTTAACCCAGATTCATAACTAGCTTGAATGAAGCAAAAAGAAAATAGGAACATCTTGCCTTGGATCCAAGCCCAGTCCAGTAATTGTTGGACACCAATGCTCTACTTGCCTTTATTTTCTCCTTCAGTCCCAGAAAAAGGAATGCTAAGCCAAAAGAAATGGTTAAAAAAAATGAACAGAAGTTTGTTTCCCCTCATTTAATTTTTGGTCATGTGCCGCCAAAGCAATTGAAGCTTGGGCAGCCTACATTTAATTGGGGTTTAATTCAAACTTTCCCCTGAATTGTAAAATATTAAAGGAACGGAACCCAGACTATAAATAAGAGCACTTCCTGCTAACGATGTTCTTAACAGCATTTTCATTGCAGATATTTGTCAACATCTATGAAAAATGCTTCATCAGTTTAGCCCATTTAGTATTCTAAAGGCAGGAATGTGAGGAAGGAGTGGGGGAGATTTGCTAGTAAATGAATTAACTGTACCAGCTGCACTGGAAAGCAAACCCTTCTGAATTTTTTATTCCTCACTTGCAAAAACGCACTGCCTGGTGTACATGGTGCCTTCAAATCTTTTTAAGTTGCCGTGAATATACAGATAAATGAGTAAGAGTTGGTGTGGAGTAGTGTAGTGGCTAAAAGCATTAGCTGTTGTCAGGGGTTCAGGAGCAGAGGCAAGGGCAAGGGAGGAAACAGAGAGCGAGGGGGAGGAGGCAGAAGAAAAGATGAGTGATGACGACGACCCGAGATCTCCGAGTCCTTCCAGTGAATCAGAAGATTCACAGAAAGGAGCACCAGTGGCCAGGGCAAGGGGGGAGCCTAGGGGGACGCCCCAGGAAGATAGAGCCAGAGGGGACTCAGAGGGGAGCAGTTGGAAATCGGGACCAGCGTCACCGCCAGAGAGCAGGGAAGAGGAAGGGAGCCAGGGATCAAGCGCTGGCAGCTCACAACAGGGGGGAGGGCACGAGTCTGGAGTGGCCACACCTCCATCGGGGAGCGAAGAAACGGTCAGACGGAAGGTGGAAGGTTGGGCGCGCGCGCCAAGTTCAATTGCACAGGAAGGTGGCACAGTAGGCAGCCCGGAAAGGGAGCCAGGTCCTAAAGCCCGCCGAAAGGAGGGAGAAGAGTCCGGGGTCAGCGTCAGAGGAATCCCGGAAAGAAGAGCTCCCAGGGGGCAGAGGGACCCAGAGAAGAACAGTCAGGCGGAAAAGGTGGAGCAGGGCTAGGATATTAAGTTGGTGTACAAGGGGCGGAGACTCAGACGGAGCTCGCCGGTCTAACCATGAGACGTAGAGTTGCACGCAGCAGTTTGAGAATGGAAACTGTAACTCAATAAAGACTTTTGTTTAATGATCGCTGGCTAGCGTGATCCTCTGTGAGCTAGGATCTGGAAGCAGCTTTGACAGCTGTGAACCAGAAAGTTCCTGGTTCAAATCTTATTGTGAATATATTTGGTGGCTTTGGGTATTTATTGTGCTCCTAACACATGCAAGCTTTTTATAGCATCTACATGATGTTGCTGGCATCAAAATGTCGGCCCCTATTTTCCTCCATTTAATCTGGATTTTTCACTTCGGGGGAAAATCCAAGAAAGCAACAATCTGTTATTAATGTCCCTGCCTGCCCGGAAGCATCCTTCAATGAATCTCATAGAATTATAGAATTGTACAGTTGGAAGGGACTCCAAGGGTCATCTAGTCCAACTCCCTGCAACGCAAGAATCACAGCTAAAGAATCCCCAACAGATGGCCACCCACCCTCTGCTTATAAACCTCCAGGGAACTACCTTCTGAGGTAGTTTGTTCCACTGTTAAACAGCTCTTGCTATTAGAAAGTCCTTCCTAACGTTTAGTCAGAATCTATCTGAATCCATTGGTTCAGGTCCTAACCCCTGGAGCAGAATACAACCTTGCTCCACCATCTATGTTACAGTCCTTCAGATATTTACTGTAAAGGTGGCTATCATATCGCCTTCTTCAGGCTAAACATACCCAACACCCTTGACCGTTCCTCATAAGGTTTGGTTTCCAGATCCTTTATCATCTTGGTCACCTTCCTCTGCACATGTTCCGTTTTGCCAATCTCCAGTTTCCGGTATTTAATTACCCCTTCCCAAATTGATTTCTTTTTTCTTTGCTCAGAAACACGCAAACCTACAGACACTCATAGTAAGGTAAAGGACCCTTGGATGGTTACGTCCAGTCAAAGGCGACTATGGGGTTGCAGTGCTCATCTTGCTTTCAGGCCGAGGGAGCCAGTGTTTGTCCACAGACAGCTTTCCGGGTCATGTGGCCAGCATGACTAAACCACTTCTGGTGCAATGGAATACCATGACGGAAACCAGATCGCACGGAAACACCGTTTACCTTCCCACCACAGCAGTACCTATTTATCTACTTGCGCTGGCATGCTTTTGAACTGCTAGTTTGGCAGGAGCTGGGACAGAGCAATGGGAGCTCACCCCATCTTGGGGATTTGAACCACTGACCTTCTGATCGGCAAGCCCAAGAGGCTCAGTGGTTTAGACCACAGCACCGCTCGCGTATATTACTCAAAGTAACATACACAGAAAGAGTCAACACCACCCCTTCACATCAGGTCATCTCTTGAAAGCTGGGGAAAAGAGAAGCTCTGATCAAGCCCTGATAGTCTCTTCCATTCAAAACATTAAAGAGAGATGTCATAATACATATTTGTGGTACAGCCACACTTTGAGTACAGTAAACGGTTCTTTTTGTTGTGCCTCAAAAGAATATTGTAAAGCTGGGAGAAGGGGGAAGGAGATCAAGGGGCTGAAGTAGCTTCCCAACAAACGCTGTTGTGCTCTAATCTTGCTTGTGGGCTTCCCACAGGCAACTGGTGAAAATAGTATGGTGAGCTAGATGCGGCAGGTGTCAAGGACTGGCTGGACGAAGAGAAGGGGTGGGAGGCTCCAGTCGAAGAACCCCCAGAGGGAACTCCAGAGGAGGAAGCCAGAGGACTGGTGGTGGGACACAGAAGAGTGGTCAGAGGGAGAAGATTGGTGGTAGGAGCTGTCAGAAGCTGAAGGGGAAACAGGGTTTTGCACCAAGACAGAAATAAACCCACATAACCAATTTCAAAACAATACGTATGGTAATTGAGGAAGTTGCTTAAATCAGAGTCATGCCGTTATTCCAAACTCTGGTGAAATAATTATTCCCACCCCCGTAATTTCAAAAGACTTTGGTTTCAACATTCAATCAACTCAAACTCCACATCACAAGAAGATTTGTATGCCCTGATGAGTACGTATTTCTCCAGTAAAGTGTGGTTGAAAAAATGTCCATGAAATAGTGTTTCCTGAAGAAAATGTCCATTAGATTAGTATTTCCCTGTCCCTCAACCAAGCAGGAGCTGGTGTGTTAGGGAGACCATATCAAAAGTGACATCACAAGACGTGAGTTAGTGGCATCAAGATGTTTGCTATGCTGTATAGTTTCCGCAACTCAACGCTGAGTCGAAATGTCAATGCCATTTTTTAAATGGCTACAAACAGTGGAATCTCATGCATGCCTAATGAGAAGCAAGCCTCATTGTTCAGCAGGGCTTACTTTCAAGTAAAAAGATATTGGCTTGCAGCTGAAGTAGATTCACATATGCATAACAGAATGCAAAACTCTTAAAAGAATGCAAAATCATTTCTATTATTTGCCGGGAGGGAAGTCTTATTGTAAAATATAAACCAGGGGCTTAAACTAACAATTTGTTCTCTGTTTGTTCCTTTCTTCTCCGTCTTTCCTCTTGCCATCTTTTATCCCTTTTTTTGATAAAAAAAAAAAAATTAGCTGTTGCATAGAACACCGGCTGATACTTAGAAATTAAACGACGACAGGGGTTCATTGGGAGATTTCTAGCAACACAAAAAAACGTATGTTGTTCATTGGAGAGCAAGGAGATAACAAAATAGGTCAGCCAGCAGGACAATTGTTAAGAGTAAAATGATTAGTTATGACATTTCAAAAATACACAAAACATCTGTCACACTGTCTTTGGTTTTCTTTGTTCCAATGTGTTTTCCTGGGTGGAGCTGCAGCTACCATGAGGCCCAAAGAATACAGCAGCAGCATAAGAAAGGATTATAAAGTAGGATGGGTAAGCTGTATTATTCCTAAATAATAACCAGCAGTGATGCTGTCAGGGCCAGACTTTGGAGCAAAAGTCCAGGGTTCCACTCAGCAGAATGAGCAGGTCGCCCCCCCCATCACAGCAGCTGCTTTACCATAATTTGAAGCAAGTGAAGAAATACCCATTACCTTCTAAATTGGGGGCTTCATGCAAGCAGAGATAGATTAATCTTTTGATTCCAGTCCCCTCAGTTCCCCATTTTTCCTATTTTAAATTCATCACATTTCTGCAGCAATTTGCCATTTTTCATGAAAATTCACCAGCATTCTGATGCAAATTTCTTCTAATAAACAAATATAATATAATGCACTTTTGTATGTTAGGGTTTTTTTTGCTAATATGTGCATTTTTATGTACACTTAATTTTAGTATATGCATTTTTGTATGCGCTACTTGGCTGGAGAACGCCATTGCAAAATTCAGAGTTGTGTGTATTTTGAAGGGTGAGCATTGCTTCGCTTTGCATATTGTTTCAGAAAGTGTGAATGTGGTAGGTTTACCTTTAAACATGAAATGAATCAAATCACCCACCATCCTTAGCTGTAAGGTCATTAATTCTAGAGTCTGAAATTCCCTACCTGCCCTACTAGTAACAAAGCCCTGATCCCAAATCAGCTTATGTTTCCTTCCTCCATACTATATCTTCTTTATTGCGCTGAGTTGATGTCACTGGATCTGAAATTACTGGTCCCTTGCCTTGATAAAACAAGCAGCAAGAGTTGTAGCTCAGTGGTAGAGCATCTGCTTGGCAGGCAGAAGGTCTCTGGTTCAATCCCTGGCATCTCCAGGCAGGGCTAGAAGAGACCATTCCTGAAATACTGACGAGCCACTGCTAGTTAGTGTAGACAATATTGAGTTAGATGGACCAGCAAAGGCAATTTCCTGTGTTCCTGAGCAACACTGTAACCCTGGGAAAGGGTTAATATTGTGAATTTGTATATACCTATACCTTTTCACTAATATCAGGCATAGGCAAACTCGGCCCTCCAGATGTTTTGGGACTACAACTCCCATCATCCCTAGCTAACAGGACCAGTGGTCAGGGATAATGGGAATTGTAGTCTCAAAACATCTGGAGGACCGAGTTTGCCTATGCCTGACTAATATATTTATTTTTAATGGACTTAATATTTGCATTTTTATATTTAAAATAATTGGCTGGAGAAACTACACTGCAAAATTCAGATAAGAGTGAATTCTGAAAAATGTCTCTGTGTTGGTCTTCATATTGCTTTGGAACTGTGAATTTGATTGATTCGCCTTGAAATGTAGATTGAATCAAGTTTCTCCCCCATCCCTAGGCGCCATGAATACAAAACCCACAGGTATCTGCATGTTAGATGCTAATCCAGACCTAATCTGAGTGAAGCATTTAGGGATCTATCTGCTACACAGAGAGAGAACATTTCCTGCTAAGATACAAGGAAATCCACTTGAAAGCATAACTGGTATTACAACAATATGGATAGCATTGTTGGGGCATGCTTAGTCCCAGGAACAAAGCCTAAAACAAATGAACATTAACTTGAGTTTCTTCATCCAAAGTAGCCCTGAGTTAAAAGCATTAGCAGTAGAATCGTTCCACTGGTGAAGATTTTGCACCAGTGAAAACTTTTTGCACAAGAGAATTCAGAAGCAGACGTTGATAACTTTGTTGAACAATAGATTGCACAACATTAAAACTCAGTCACCCGCTTGCACAAGACCCCTTGCACTAGTGCAGAATGTTGGATACATCTCAATAGTATTAAACTTGAGGCTTGAGCCTGACAAGAGGTTGCCTTCAGATTGCTGGAGGGACTCAAACACATACCAGAAATTTAGGTTTGTGCAATTAAAGCAGATCAAAGGGCTCTATCCCCCTAGGTAAGGGCAACAAATCCCCTTTAAAAAAAACAAACAATGATCAACAAACCTGTCATCTGAAGGAGCCCAGATATTTACATGAGCCCTATCTGGTTATTCCCACCCTCCCTTGCAATAAACAGGCCACGGGGGGTGCTGAACTTCTGAATGTTAAGGATGAAATTCTTTGCTGAGAAATTTGAGGCTCCTAAATTACGTAGTGATCTTGCTCAGATACAAAAGCTTCCCTGCTGCAGATATTCAGTCCCTGACATGTGGGGGCTTCAGGAATGGAAACGGGATGTAATGGAGTCAAAGGATTCATCCCTACTCATCTCCTCCCATGATGGTAACTGAGGAGGCAGATAACTGAATGGCGTTATTGATAAATGACTTTCTGTACAGTGCACCATCAACATGGGGTAATGGGGACCAGCGCTGTTGCCGCTGGCACCATCGACTGGGCAACCATCACATTCTATTTCCACCTACTTTCATTTGCACTATAAATAGCGGATGTGAGTTATTTATGCTCCTTGACCAATAACCCGCTTTCACAATACATTGCCCAGCTTTCACAAAAGTTCCAATCCTTTGGCTCTCACCTGTTATTGTATCTGTCATGCTAACCGTTGCGGCTGTCAGGAAAGATTTATATCTTTGAATGTGATGTGATGGGTTGAGTTATTCATTAATATTACTTACACTCAATGAAGATATTCTAATTGTCCTGATAACCTGTAACCTCCATTAAATGCTTTAATCGTTAATTTGCACATGATCCATGTCAGTGTGGCTCTCTCGGTGTCAATGGGATGCCTACCTGATGTTTACGTACATATGTCAGGACAAAAGTATGAGGAATAAAGACCTGGAAAATCCTGTACCAGGACAGCCTGATTCCTTATGTTCCCCATTGATCCTGAACTCCCCTCCTCTCCCTCTGCTGAGGTTCGGTTGACCTTCGCCAAGTATTGCTATAAAATAAAAACATGGCTGAGAAGCAAGGAGCCAGGAAAAGGCAGCAAGGATTAAGCTGAAGAACTATTTCTCCTGCAAACATCCATGACATTGTAACAGGTTTGGAGAGGGAAGTATGAAGTGGTTTGGCAAGCGTGGAACCCACAAGACTGAAACCTTGGGAATTTACAAGATTCCTAGTTATAGGAAAGAAGCTTCCTGGAAGATGTTAGTTCCAACACAAAAGGTGACCCACACTTAGCTTTTGCCCTATGCTTTCCAGGCACAAGTCCTCACTGCAAAGCTCTGACTCCCCCCCCTTTTTTTTTTGCCCTGAAACATTTCCTGCAAAAACCTGCTCTTTAAAGCTGAAGCACAACAAACAGCAACTCAGGTTTTCCCTGTTTGCTCTGATTTAGCAGCAAAGTGTGTTTTAGTGGGGAAAGCTCTGGAGCAAATAAAAATAAAAATTGCTCTGACACAGAACTTTAATGCATGGACTCTACTTGGAAAGCATGGAGGAAAGGGAGATAAGCCCTAAATAACAGTGTTAAGCCAGGAAGGGACACTAAACGCTAACTAATTCAAGTACTGAATTATGTTGTTGTTGTTGTTTAGTCGTTTAGTCGTGTCTGACTCTTTGTGACCCCATGGACCAGAGCACACCAGGCACTCCTGTCCTCCACCGCCTCCCGCAGCTTGGTCAAACTCATGTTGGTAGCCTTGAGAACACCATCCAACCATCTCATCCTCTGTCGTCCCCTTCTCCTTGTGCCTTCCATCTTTCCCAACATCAGGGTCTTTTCCAGGGAGTCTTCTCTTCTCATGAGGTGGCCAAAGTATTGGAGCCTCAGCTTCACGATCTGTCCTTCCAGTGAGCACTCAGGGCTGATTTCCTGAAGAATGGATAGGTTTGATCTTCTTGCAGTCCATGGGACTCTCAAGAGTCTCCTCCAGCACCATAATTCAAAAGCATCAAAGTTTCCTGCTGTAGTGTGACAGTGAGATGACGAGGGGTCTTTGGCCAATGAGCACTCACAGCCAAGTGTCCCTCATAGTGAAATCCACATAAATAAATCTAGAATTAATCCAATTACTGATGGAAGATGTTTGCTGGAGGAAGCCTTCAGGACCAGAGAAGAACATAAGCTTGCATTAGATGTGGCAAAAATTCTCAGCATTCATCAGCACTTGCAATTATGTTGTTAGCCATGTGTGTGCTTGGTCCCATACATGGTTGCTGCTATGGGAGAGTATCCTACTTAAGCCAGTGTTGCTTTCTCTGTTCCTTTGCTGTGGCATTACATACCCTGCTCAGAGTGTAAGAAGGAACAGTTCTGGGACACGTGTGAACTGAGCTTCTCTGTTACAAACAGTCTGTTCACTTGTGAAAAGGAAGCAAAAATTACTCTATTACTCTCTGAGACCATAGTTGTATGTCCCTGGGAGAGCGCCTCAGTAGCTATCTCCCCAACATGCCCCATGAACAGGGAGTTCCCACAGTGGTGAAACAGATGCCTCTGGAATCCCAGAAGCTGGACATGAGTGCAACAGCACTCTAAATTAAAAAAGGAACCCATTGTTCTTCTCTTATCTTCTGTAGGGTGCAGGATCCTACTCAGATAAAAGAGGCATTTCATTCATCTAGATTTCTCCCTCTCACCCGCCTTTTGGGGTGTTCTGTGAGTTGAGTAGTGCTCTCCCTCCCTAAGTATCAACAACTTAGTTTTGGCCCCAATAGACACTCTATAATTTTGCTGTACACCATTCATTCACAAAACTTTCATTCCTCCATCAGATTTCCATTCCGAGCTCCACTCACAGACTGACTTCAAAAATGTTTCAGCTGGCTGTTTGGCGGAGGGCTGCTGGACAATGAACAGTGGCTTTGCTTGGCATGGGAAATGTTATGTCTGCAACTGAAGTAGCAGAACAAAGAGGGTTGCAGGTCTACAAAAATATTCAGATGCTCACAGGGAGGAAGTGAGAATTCTTCATCCACCAGGCTGAAAACATCCCCCCCCCACGAGTTAAAGATGGTACTGTTATGCTAAGGTTCATTACTTCAGATGGTGAGAAGTTCCGTGGGTGAAGTATTTCCCCAGGTTCAAAAGAGATTTATTGGCAATTTGTAATATTTGGATTTTACTTTATTTGCAGATTAACCATACCGTAGGTGAAGGCAAAGCTTAAACTCTCCATATGACAGCCATTGCTTCCATTTCAGGTCTCCAAGGGAAACCACTCCTACCCCCGCAACCTCCCCCAATTAAATTCTCTGTTTCCATAGGGGTGACCATATTTCCCTCTTGGAAATAAAGCAACAAAGAACCCTTGTAGCATCTCAAAGAGTAATATAAGCCTCCATGGACTCTGATGCATGAAATGATCTCTTGAGTTTCAGGTGTATCTAATGTGTACCTGGATGATTTGGGTGCAGCGTTGTACACAGTGAGGTCATAGCGAAAAGAGGGGAGGCAAACAATTATTATTGTGTAATTAGCAATGGTAATTGACAAAAGAGTTGTTGATAACACAGATATCCTGATATTGGAAAGCCAACTGTAATGCAATAAAACTCTTTTGTCTTGGTTCAGCCCACAAGTAATAGCACTGAACCTCTTAATGCATTGTAAATGAGTCTTTATGAAAAAACACACGTGAATGGACACAAATCTGAGGTCAGAATTGCAATATTCAAAATCCAGTGGGAGGCCATTTCATCCTTCTAGTACATTAATTTGATGTATCACAGTATTTTAATATTCTTTTGGAAGCCGCCCAGAGTGGCTGGGGAAGCCCAGCCAGATGGGCGGGGTATAAATAATAAATTATTATTATTATTATTATTATTATTATTATTATTAGAATGACCATTTTGGAGCAAAGGAACTTCAGAGGGAATCATAGAATTGGAAGAGACCCTGATTTACATTGCAATACATTCATTTCAATACATCAAGAGTTGTATCCTGAACTGTT